AATAAAAAGTCTTTTTTAGATATGCTAAGATGGATAAAATCAACTAACACTTTGTCCTCATCCAGTCAGAATGTAGATACTGTGATGAAACTAATATCTGTGGGTGCTAACTTTTAACAATCACACTCAAGATAATTGGCTTGTCAAAAAAAAAGCAATATCTTGGTGTATTTTCAGTAAGCTGCCCACAGAGCTGACCTGGTTTCATTGACTCTCTGACTGAGACTCATCACTGCAAAGGTCTCATGGACACGAGCAGAGTAGTTTCTCCTAGTGTCATTTGGGAGACCTGAAAAAGAGCCATTTGGCAGACTTCATGGCGTCTAAATGACAGTCTGAGGTTTAAATGCCTGGGTTTCCAAAATAAACTGTGAACACAGCTAGTTAGAACAGCATCCGTCTTTATAATTAGTTTAGTGGCAAAACCAAGTTGTTGTTTTTTTATGTGTAGGTAGCAAAAGAGCTGTAAAAATATTTTTGTGATTGCATAACACAGCTCACGAATTCTAATTAACCAGCAAAGCTGGATGAAACAGTGACATAAAACATGGGCTGATTTAAAGGGGAACACCGTTTTTTTTCACATTGGGTCCTTGATTTTACGTTGATACATCATGTTCTACTCACCCATATGAGTTTTGTGTCATTTGGAGCTGTTCTGAAGATATTCCGTTAGGTTATATCCAAGTAACATCTTCCTATGGGCAACGACTTGAAGGCACAAACTAAACTGTTCATAATTTATCATTTATGGTACGCCAGCATTCATAACATGTAGGCGAATCACTGTCCCCCAGATATCAATTCCATTGGGACCAAGTAGCACTGGACAGCGAAAAAATGCAAGAGGAGGGAGTTTTGTGTCGGAGGTTGTGGCTTAGTCTCCTCCATCATAAATGTTTTATTTAGAGGAGGAAAATGGGGACCAAGATGTTTTGGAAGAGGACGCCAGGGCGGCAGAAGCTTGGTTTGGTGTAGAAGGCTTACAGCCGTACATGTTTGACCCCTTGCCTTGCAACGCTGCCAGTTCTGTTAGCTCTACACCTGCCGAAGACACAGACGTCTATTCCCGTGAACACTGGGATGTAACTCAATAGTAAAGTAAATTATTCTTATTTTTTATTTCAACCGTTGCATATATTAGCTTCGGCATATGAATCAAGATGCTATGACCGAACAACTTTGATTGACAGATGACCTTTCATATATGATTGGCCGAATTAAGGTGTACAAACTGACGTATAACTAACTGGCCTGCATAAAATAACAAACGAAAAAAAAACACAGATTTTAAGACAGGATTTTTTTAATATAGAAATTTTATACATTTTGGGACACTATAGTCTGATAAAGAGAATGATTTGACATTTAAAAATAATTTCCCTACGACTTTAAAAAGATCGACAGACTACGTGTAGGAAAACTGTTTGTTTTGGAAGATGTAGGAATGTTTTTCAACATTTCCCTTTTTATTGTTGAGGAAGTTTTGTGAAATTGCAAGCATCACAATCAAGCAAGATGGAATCCATGATGCCACACTTAAGAAGCGGCAGAATGATTGGAGAAGGGTCTAAACATGTGGAACCTGTTCTCTACTAAGAATTTAATGATGTCCATGGTGTAACAATTAATAAAACTATTGCCGTAGCAAGAGGTTGGTAAAGGGTTTGGAGATTTTATTTTCTTGAAAAGGCCAAAGGAACATGCAGAACTCTTTCATTACGAAGCTTTTTGTCTGATCATTTATTTCAAACTTCCACATAAAAAAAAAATGGTGTGATGTCTTCATGCTAAAGATACATTTATTTATCAAGTCTTTCTTGCCAGACAGAAGACAACCTCTTTCCAGCTCTATGATACATCGAGCATTTTCTTTGGCTCTATCAGTTTGACTTCTAAAGTGGGTCTATATTTTGATGGGATCTTCTATCATACTCATCTTTGACTATGAATATGTGCATAGATGATTTAAACAGAAGAGTATTTCTCCTTTCTAGTCCTTGCCCCCTGCTTCTCTCGAGACTGTGAAAGTGAATGCCTTGCGTCCCAACACAGTGGCTCATGGTTTAGCAGGGAATAAAAATACCTTTGTTTCCAATTTTGGTAATTACTGCTCTGTCTCTCTTTCCTCTTGCCCAGTTTGTCTCAAACCACTAATAAGATTCCAGTCCATTAGATTATAAATTAATTACACAATTCAAGCTGAATTTGTATGCCGCTAATATTAGACAGTTATCTCTGACAGCTTATTTGCCAGCTTCCTAATTAGTGTCTTTGGCACCATGCTATAAGGTTTTGTGATACCTGACACTCTTTTTATCCAGCACCAACAAGTTAAATGTTGCACAAAAAATAGTATGCACCTGTGTTATTGTCATGTGAAGGCAACACTACAGCCCAAAACTTTAATTTCTATCCTCTTTTTTATCATATGGATGGGTTAATTTGACTTACAGTTTAGATGAAATACTTTAGAAGGAAGACAATATATTATTAGCCAGTTAGTTTATAAATCCGGTGTGTACAATTATGGTTAACCAACAATTGTGTAAACATTTACATAAAAGATGTTTCAATCTTAAGCATCAGGCTAGGTTCACAAGAATGTATTTCTCTTTTATTTCTGGCTTTTGCTCTTGTTTTTACATAAAGGTATAGTAAATCGAATATTTGTTTCTTGACAACGATAAAGGCAGAGATTAATATAAATTGATTGACAAAAAGCTATTTGAAAAAAAATCATAGTAAGAGGGGGAAAATGTAGTTTCAAAGGCAAAGGCCTCCCTTTCTGATGGACAAATCACAGCTTAGCTACCTTTAAACTAAACTAAATGTAAGTTTTAATATTCAAGGTATTTGTTCATGCAAGCTCTCAGACAGCTGTGTATGATAGATGGAGAAGATTCCCAACTGTTCTGAACTGTTAATGGTTCTTTTTTCTTTAGAAATTCATGCAAACAGCCATGATTCAGCCAAGAGTACTGCCATCAATCCCATCTTCTAAAGGTGCATTCATATAGCTGATCCAGGGATCAGTTCAGGGAAGAGTTGAATCAAGAGAGTTCACATCGGTTTGCTTTCACACAGGCATTTTGAGACCAGGCCAAGCAATGTCACCCATTTCTAATGGCTTCTTTCAAGGGCTATTTTTTTTTCCAGTCTTGAGAGACCAAGATAGAAAAAAAAGCACAAAGAAGAAAGACCATCTGCCTGACTTTCTGTTGCCATTGTTCTTTGGTGTTGAAAAGCAGAAGTGGATCTGCATGTTTTTACTACTTGCCCCATCCTATGCTTTAATTTGAGCTCTTAAAATAATTTATTTTTCCTCAACTCAAATTGGCTCATCTTACATCACATCTTTTTTTTTTTGGTTTGGGCATACTGGGACGGTTACACTTTCTGACTATAAGCAAACCGCTCAGGGGTCAAAATAAACATCTGCCACAGTATGGATTCAGGGTTGAAAGTTAAAAGCATTCCAAAGGATTCATGTGGAATCACTGCAAGGTAACGGTGTTTGAAAGCAAGTGTTTGCAACAGGTTTAAAAAAAAATAGCAACTGCTACTGCATTCCTCCCTAGTTAAATAACATCCAGAGTAGCGCTGATAAAAAAAAAATATATAATCATGTGTTTCTTTTATATTTAGCCACAATCACTTTTAACCCTTGCTAATTATCAAAATCGGTCCAGTATAACCTAAAAAAAAAGGACTGTACATTAGCTTTATGTCAGTTCGCAAAAAACACACAAACATGATGTCAAAGCTGTTTTTACAATTATTACCGCCTGGATGGGCTTATTCTTAAATACTGATCTTTTTCAGAATGTAATTCAAGCTGAGTTATTCTACCTTGATAAAAGATACTTGAAACATTGTCAAAACAAAAAGATGTTTCTATGTGGTTCAATAATTTTTCTCAAGAGACAAATACTTGGCAATACTTGTTTACAATGTAAAGTTTGTTCCTTAATAAAAAACAAAAGTGGAACTTTTTTGTATCAAAAGCTTGAAATTCGTCATTCTTCACCCAGGATAGGTTAATAATTGCATTGGGACATTAAAATTTTTAATTTGACATTGTTAGGGTTTGTGAAAGTTGTAGGGAAGCGGCTGTTCCAACCGTTGCATTTCCAAATTCTCCCGAGTTGTGCACGACTTTACACGAGTGAATAAAGTTAATGTGACTGGTCGTAGGATTGGTGGAAGGTTTGCAAGCAAGTCTGATTGTGGACGGTTTGTCGGAAGCGCCTTGCTAACCAGTTAGCAACTTAGTCCTAGTAGGTGGAACCTGACATGTAACTAACTGGCCTGCATAAGATAATGGAATAAAAACACAGATTTTAAGACAGGATTTTTTTTAGCAACAGAAATTTTCTAAATTTTGGGACAATATCGTCTGATAAATAGTAAATGTATATACATGTTTAGGCCAGAATGATTTGACATTAAAATATGACTTCCCTACGACTTTAAGCTTCTAAATTTCTCTTGATTTAAGTGACTATGTCAGTAACGAACTTTCCAAACGTCTGGCATATTCTAAGCTAATGAAAATATTTAATTCTAATATTTTCGATTTTTGATGACATGTTTGTCTCTTTCTCTGTATTACCCTTCAGATTTACACAGTACAATCCTATGGAAATGCTTACAGTAGACACAAGGGGGAAGCAACTATGCACAAGCCTAAGGTCCCCTCACTCAATGATTACCGGCCTGAAGCACTGACTCCCATCATGATGAAGTGCTTTGAAAGGCTAGTTAAAGAACACATCATCTGCAGTCTGCCGCCAACAATCACCCCGCTACCGTTTGCCTACCGACGGAACCGCTCCACTGAGGACCCCATCTCCTCTGCTCTTCATCTGATCCTAGCACACCTGGAGGAGAAGAACACCAACATGCAGATGCAGCTTTCAACACCCTCATCCCATAGCATCTGATAGGCAAACTGGAACAGTTGGGCTACAATACACCCCTCTGCAATTGGCTGCTAGACTTCCTCAAAGACAGACCTCAGATAGTTCGGGTTGGACAGAACACCTCTGATATCATCACCCTGAGTACAGGCTCCCCTCAGGGCATCCTGAGCCCCCTGCTGTTTACCTTGATGAGACACAACTGCGTCCCCAGGTTCAACACCAACCACACCGTGAGGTTCACAGACGAAACCACCATGGTGGGCTTCATCAGAGACGACAACAACTACAGACGACTACAGAGCACCACATTCTTTGGGGTGCACATCACAGACACCCTCATCTGGACTGTAAACAACACCTCACTGGTCAAAAGGGCACAAAAGCGCATGTACTTCCTGTTGAGGATGAGGAGAGCCCACCTGCCCCCACACATCCTCACCACCTTCAACAGAAGCACCATAGAGAGCGTTCTGACCAGCTGTCTCACTGTGTGGTGTGGAGACTGCAGTACCTCAGACTGAAAGAAAGTTAGGAAAGTAGTGAGAACAGCAGAGAGAATCATTGGGGCTCCCTCCATTAAAGACATTTCATCACAGTGCTGCATGTCCTGAGCTCGTAACATCATAAATGACCCCTCACACCCCCACCATGGACTGTTCTCCCTGCTGCCCTCGAGGAAGAGACTTCGAAGCATCTGATGCAGGTCAAGCAGATTCCGGAACAGTTTCTTCCCCACTGCTATTAGACTGTTGAATGTTGTATTAAAATTGGATTAAAAATGGGATTTAAAAAAAAAAATGCTGAATGTTGGAAACTCTAAATCATATATCAGTCTTATGTTTACATTTTATCACTGCTGCTTACATTTTATCACTACTGCACTTTAAAAAATTGAAATGTCTTGAGAGCTGTACTGTACTAAATTTCTGTTTGTATACATTCTGTGTGCACAAAATGACAAGAAAGCAAAACCTTGACAACAGTGACTTTAATCTTAGATATAGATCAAATATACTTTGTTGGTTGAGGAGCTTTCTCAAAATCAATTTCTAAACAAATGATCCCTTCCGAAAAACAGTAGAGTGCTCACTGACAGAGATAACTGAAAGTGAAACTTAAAGCTGGAGGCTGGGGTCTTACTTTCTACTAATGACCATGAGTTATTGATTGGATTCATTCTGACACTGTGACACTGGACAACCAATAAGCAGAAAGAATCCCCAAATTAAAGAAAATCCTGTTTTGATTTAGATTTTAAATTATAAAAAAGGCTTCCCCATTGAACAATATGAACATTTTTTAAATCGGCATTCTTTTTAAGGATAAGTAATAAAGTAGATTCCTGCAGGGGAATGTTTAACCTTCTTTTTGACTTGCATGACCCTTGTGCACTTCTCTCTTGCTTTGAGATATACAGTACTGTATAAACAAACATGCTGTCTCCTACAGGCTGATGGATGCAACATATACACAAACACAAAGTCACATTTCTTTACATCAAAATATTATTTGGAACATTACATGCACATCCTGCAAACATGCATGCTCTAAAAGCTAACAACACTTCCACTTTTTTCCAAAAAGCACAAAATCGGATTTTGAAGACTTTGCTTTAGATTGGGTTTAAACTGAGATAAAGGTTTAAAAGAAAAATAAAACAGAAGTTTTTAACTATGTGAGCAAATTTGTCACCCTAAAGCATAAGAAAAAATGACCACACACACTTAATTTGTTATGTTATCATGAAATCCTTTCTCCTTGCGGATGGTGACTCATCTTTTGTCCCTAGTGAACCCGTATCTGGCAATGAGGTCGTAAAACATTTCATATGATGCAATGTGCCACTTAACAAAGCACCACTTACCACATGGGGAGCACCTCACTAAAAACAGCCTACTTACAGCTGAATAAAGTAAACAGAAATAAGCCACCCATAGCTTGATATGGTAAATATGTGTTATGGTCTAATCTGTTTGTATTTATAATGAAAATCCCCTTAACTGGATGATCTGTCTCAACTTATTATGCATGTGTTTTCACAAGACATTTGTGGGATGTCAGTATTTCAGAACATTAGTATACACTGGATGTCAGTCATTAAAACTGGGTGTGGTGGACCTAAAATAATAAAAGCTTGTTTTCATATAAGTATATATAATGATACATATGCTGCATCAGGTCCCCAGAAATCTAGAAGTCAAATCTCATACAGCATCAGGTGTTTTTCAGTGACCTGGACCTCAGTTCAAAGCTTTCAAAGGAAATGGCACTGGGTGACTCCTGGAGATGCATCAAAAGCTATATTATTCATTAGGTAGGAGTGGGGGCTTGTGTCATAACCCACCGTCTGCTCTCTAAGTCTCCCCTCCCATTACACATCTCAGTCAGATGTAATAATAACACCTCATTGCAAAGGCTTCCCAACACTGTGACCTTGTGCTTACGTTCTCAACTCACCTCCCTGGAACAGACCCGGACAAAGCGTATCCAAAAAGAGCACAACAAGTGCCCAAGTGGCTGCCTCATACTATCCTGCCACCTTCAGTGGATACAAGCCTCCTACTCTGTGCTTCTCAGCGCGTTTTGGTGAAACACACGCTGAAACAATCACAGAGCATCAAAGCAATTACCATCAGCTTGCTGTGACACAAAAGGTGTAAGGAAAAAAAAAAAACATGCGTGCACCTGACATCAACATGGCCAACTCAAGGGCGTCTGGAAACCACCGCGAAAGCTTTGCGTCTGGAAACGATTTTAAATGATCCATCAATTTCATGATGAGATCTTTTGCTCACCTTTATTGCTGTCTTCTTCTCTGTTGAGATGCATGACTCGTTTTACCATCTACTCATTTAGACTATCAACTAACTAAGCTATGCGCTTTCCTAAAAGAGTTGTCGAGATGAACTCTTATTCCATGTATTTCTGCTCTCCTTGCCCGCCGGATGCCTTCTTCTGTTGGCACACGGAGACGCGCCTGCACTTGTGCGCTGTGCGTCCTCCTCTCTGTTCTCCTTCAGTTGGAGTAGGTACAGTCTAGGTGAGGTTTGGAGTCTGCGTTCTGGCTCTGTCCACTTTCTCTCTGAGTATGTTTATCGCCTGAGCCCGCATTTGCTCAAATGACTAGTCGGAGCAGAGGGGTTTAAAGGAGGAGACGGCAGGCAGACGGGCGGGGTGACGTTAGGTGTCGGTAGGGGGTCGTCTTCTCGGAGGCGAGGCGAGGAATCTGCACGTTCTTGGAGATTCTTACCGTTTTTATCTGAGGTCTTCATGGTGCAAGCAGACTTCTCTGGGAGCTCCTCAAAAATGAGCCTGACCTCATTTTTAACGGAATAAATTTGGGGTTTCCAGCGCGCGCACGTGTGCGCGTGGTTTGTTTTTATGAAGATGATTGTTACTCAGTTAAGTAGCTTTAGGGAAACGAAATATTTTAGTCCTGTGACAGTCCCTGCTGAAAATATTAGGAAAAGCCTAAAGCTGAAGCAGATGACAGGGACTCCTGTTTTCAGTCATCTACACCCTATATGCTGTTTCTATTTCTGAGAGGATGCCTTTACGCACAAGCTGTCCAAGTTGTGCTTTAGGTTTAATCTGTTGCTCACGTGTTGAGCCCGTATTGGTTTCATTGGAGTCATTTTACGAGCGTCTGTGCGCTTTTATTATTATTATTATTATTATTATGGCATTGCAGCCAATAGGCCCAAACAGCCGATATGGAGCATTTACTAACAGTTCACGTTCGCCTGGAGCCACGCGTTGAACGTGGCTCTCTGGCGATCTCTAGTGTTGCTCATAAATCAACTGCGCTCATCTTGGTTGTCAAGAAGCTTGGCCATCCAAAGAAGAAGATAATGAATTTTGAAAAAGGAGAAGTTATGCATTAAAGGAAATCGAATATTTTTATTATTTTTATTATTCATTATAGCAATAGGCCTTCAATGCAAAGATCCAAAATAATGCTATTTTAGATTTTTAAACAACATCAGTAGTAAAATGGATCCAGTAGTAAAAAAAAAAAAGGAAAAAAACAAATCTACATGTTATAAAACCTTTTTAAAGAATTAATTAATAGGTCACTTGGGTTGATTTCAGAACATCTGCAAGATGTGCGTGGAAAATTCAGTTATTTTCAGTTATTTCAAAAGCCTTATAAGTTAAGATTGAACATGATTATTTTCTTTTCTTTTTTTAAAAACAACTTTCATGTGGCAATACTTTTTTAAAGAAAGAGGAAATTCTATGTTGTTTTTTTTTATAATGGCATTTGATAAAAATTTCAAACACTGTTGACAAAGTTTTATAATCTTAGAGAGAAGAGACCTGTAACATTAACTATGAATCTTCAACTTATACTTTAGATATGATCAGCTATACAGCAGATAGAACCTTAGTTGATATAATATCTGCACGTTGCTCAAATAGAATTAAATGGATGTTTGTAACTAATGTGCATTGATGTTATTTTCATGAGATGATAGAGGAGCTGAATGCATGGAGAATTTTAACATTTAATGGTAAATATTTATACTTTGCATAGAGGATAGTAGTGTTGCACTATGTAATTTGTTGGCCCCGATACCTGGCTTTGCAGTATCGGCCGATACCATACTGATACCATCTGTTTGGAAAAAGGAAAAGGAAAAAGACTAATACAAAGTGAATCCAGTAGAACTTTATATTGCCTACCCGGAATGAGTGACAATAGTTGAATAAACTTTTGGCTCTCAAAATGATATTGGTGCCTTATTTGTTGGTACTTGCCTATACCGATACCACCATTTCAGTGCTGTTTTGGGGCCCCGCCCGATACTGGTAGCAGTATCGGTGCAAAACTAGAGGATAGAGAGGGTTGACAGTGCCTAGAATAATACAAACTTATGTGATGCACCTTGAATTATCACATTTATTTTACTTTCCTGGAACTTTAATTTCTTAATGCTTTTAATATATATAAACATTTAATCATCGATGCATAAGGCAGGCAAGAACATACAGAATACAACAATAGCAATAAAATCTTTAAGGCTCTTGGTTCAGTACTTCAAGCAAGACAAATATGAAGACAAATAGGTCATAAAGACGTAAAGTGTGGGTTTTAACTAAAATTTTGAGCTGTGAATGTGGAGTTTTGCAATGAATAATATTAAGTAGTCTGTATCACAAGGTCTTTCTTTTTGGGGATCTTCAAACAGAAAGAGCAACATAATGGGCTATAGTTTGGTTTACTCCTCTGGTCTATTATTTTCCTCATTAAGTTGTTAGTTTTCTACTTAAGAATGGGTCAGAGTTGCTAATTGCTATGTTAGGATTCAGTATGTTGTTAAAAAAAGACGAGATTTACATTTGTACTCCTATTTACTTGGTTTAGTTGGGTAGGGAAGTGAAGAGGCGGAACCTTTGTTTTGAGGCGTTTGTAGCTTCACGTTTGTTTACGGCGGACATTCTGTTTTCTCGTATGCACTTGCGCTTATAGAAAATACCAAAATTACAAATTTCCCTCCCAAAGTATTGATAGAGCACTAAACTACAAAATATAAACGGTTAAAAATGATTTTTTCTTTTCTGGTATAAATACATGCGTTTTTTTCTCTCGTTTTTTTTTTTTTTTTTGAAGAGAAAGTACTCGCAGAAGTCTCAGAAACAAAACGATTCAACCACTAGGAGGCAGTACAGATACAAAAAGAGATACAAAAAGAGTAAGCGTGCAATGCAAGACACATTGCCATAGTAATAATAAAAGATTAAAAGGCTGGTGATCAAAACTGTTTCCGATTCTTTTAAAACTGACAAGGAGCTGTGGTACGTTGTATTTCAAAATGTAGATCTTATTTACCCACAAATGATGAGAAGGTCAACAATCCACCAGTCTCCAATATATCACTGTTAAATATTAAGTTTTTATCCAACCAATCCTTAATGAATATTGTCTCAGGATAATATGATTCTGCTGTAGAATCGTAGAATTATGAGATGTCAAATTCTGATTAACTATTAGCTTTCAAAACTGCAGTATTTAAGAAATATAGATAATCAGCGGTGCTGTTGTTATTTTAAAACCATACAAACATGCCAGACCTAAAATCTACTACAATGAAAAAAACAATCATAAGATTTACTTAAAAAATATATTGTATTTGCATGCAAATGATTTAAGTAAAATTTAATGTTGCAATATTTAGTAACCCTCACTTGCCAGTACCAAGTAAATTTTACTTGCCATAAAACATAACAGTTGTGAGGTATTACGTTACATTTATTTAATTACATCCATGTTGCAAGTTAGATTTATTTAAACAAATTAAGTAAAGTGTACTTTTTTCATAGGCACAAACAGCACTTTACTCAAAATTTTAAGTAAATCTTATATCTCTGTAGTATTTGCTGTTGTGAAGTAATTAAGTAGATATTAATTTTTTTCCTGTTCTTGACATATTGATTTACTTTGTTGCATTATGTTACATTATTCACTAATATTAGGTAATCATTGCCAGTTTTCTTATGATAAATGTTACCAAATAAATTTAAGTAATCTATACATTTAATATACATTAAATAGCTTATTTTTAATTTTAAACAGTTTAACAAAGAAGTAAATACCCTATTGTAATAAATTGCCCAATCTTTCATGGGCCAACCAGAAATTTGACATTCTAACTTCCATCCATCCATTTTCTGTCACACATAATCCCTGCTGGGGGCGCGAGGGGTGCTGGTGCCTCTCTCCAGCTGTCAATGGGCGAGAGGCGGGGTGCAACCTGGACAGGTCAGCAGTCTATCGCAGGGCAACACAGAGACACACAGAACAAACAACCATTCACACACACCTAAGGACAATCTAGAGAAGCTAATTAACCTAACAGTCATGTTTTTGGACTGGGAGGAAGTACCAGGAGAGAACCCATGCAAGCACAGGGAGAACATGCATACTCCATGCAGAAACACCCTGGGCCAAGAATCGAACCTTCTTGCTGCAAGGCAGCAATGCTACCCATTGACCCACTGGGCAGCCCTCTAACTAGCTTCGTGCTTTTCAAATATGCAATAAAAAATGTAC